GTCTATCCTTCTCCCCAAGAAGACCGCCGGAGAAAAGGAATAGATGATGTGCTTCCCATCTCACCCAACGGCCCTCTTTAGGGCCACAATTCAATTTTTATTATTTTCAATGTTCTGTGTATCAGTAAAATAAAAACCTGCAAATCTGTAATCCTGTAAACTACACGTTCAAACGAACTATATCTGATTTTGTTATTGTCTAACGATGTATTTGAGTGTTATTTTAGTTCCAGGTTGTACTTAGTTTCATCATCGGATACAATGACCAGAGGTACTATTTTCGTTCTTAAAAGGTTAACTTTTCAAAATTGGAAACCAGAGGGGCGGAGCTTGCTTGCATTTCAGAATTTAAACAAAGGTTTTTCAGTATTGTAATAAGCAATGGTTCGTACAAAGCAAACAGCTCGAAAATCAACCGGAGGAAAAATACCTCGTAAGAAATTGGAAAGCAGGGCTGCCCGGAAAACATGCCATGTTGCGCCCTCGATACTAAAACCACAAAGATACCGTCCCGGATCTGCCGCTCTCCGTGATATACGTCGTTACGAGAAATCCACTGAACTTAGCATCCGCAGACTGCCATTCCAGCGTTTGGTAAGAGAAATTGCTCAGGATTTCAAGACTGATCTCCGTTTCCAATCCTCTGCTATGATGGCTGCTCAAGAGGCTACTGAGGCTTACATTATCCATCTTTTCGAAGATACCAACTTGTGTGCTATCCACGCCAAGCGTGTTACCATCATGCCTAAGGACATCCAATTGGCCAGACGCATCCGTGGAGAACGTGCTTAAAACCATCAAAACAAATTTCAATCAACCCAACGGCCCTCTTCAGGGCCACAGGTACAGATCGGTTGCATTCTTAATTCCCATATCATTATTAATAAAAAATAAGAAGAGATTCATTTCGATCAATAATCTTCATTAGGCAATAAACTGGGTAATTTTCTCACTTGCGTAACGTGCTTTTCGGTTTTTTTTGTGTGAAATGATGTTTCTGGAAACAAATATAACAGCGAACAACGTAATCTTTGGAAAAGTTCATGTATAGATTATGTATATGATATAGTAATGCAATCGCATATGTGGCCCTAATAAGGGCCGTTGGGTGGATTGAAAATCGAGCGCTTTGATTGATTCAGGTTGATTGAAATTTGTTTTAAGAACGTTCTCACGGTTGCGTCTGGCCAATTGGATGTCCTTTGGCATGATGGTAACACGCTTGACGTGGATAGCACACAAGTTGGTATCTTCGAAAAGACGGATAATGTAAGCCTCAGCAGCCTCTTGGAGAGCCATGACAGCGGAAGATTGGAAACGGAGATCAGTCTTGAAATCTTGAGCGATTTCTCTTACCAAACGCTGGAATGGCAGTTTGTGGATGATAAGCTCAGTGGATTCCTGGTAACGACGGATTTCACGAAGAGCGACAGCTCCTGGACGGTATCTATGTGTCTGCATTACCGGAAAACCCCGCGATTTTTCATGAGCATCCGTGCTTTTTTGATTTACGAGCTGTTTGCTTAGTACGAGCCATTGCTTATTACAATACTGAAAAACCTTTGTTCAAATCCTGAAATGCAAGCAAGCTCGGCCCCTCTGATTTCCAATTTTTAAGAACGTAAACGGTAACAAAAATAATTTTGGTCATTGTATACAAAATTGATTTGTGGCCCTAAGGAGGGCCGTTGGGTGGTTTGAAGATCAAGCGCTCAAGCACGTTCTCCACGGATGCGTCTGGCCAACTGGATGTCCTTTGGCATGATGGTAACACGCTTAGCATGGATGGCGCACAAGTTGGTATCTTCGAAAAGACCGACGAGGTAAGCCTCAGCAGCCTCTTGAAGAGCCATGACAGCGGAAGATTGGAAACGGAGATCAGTCTTGAAATCCTGAGCGATTTCTCTTACCAAACGCTGGAATGGCA